AAGAAACCACCGCTCTATGATTTATGGGCCTAAACTGGGCCCGAAATTTATTCATGGGGAGAGTATAAAGCCCGCGCGAGCAACCAGAATCATAATAATCCATCCATTCCTCGCCTCTTGGAAGACCATACCACACCACACCATACCATTTTACAACATCTCTCAATATGATTTTTACCAACAGTATCTACGCAGCTCTGCTCGCCGCCTCTGCCGTGACAGCAGCACCTTCCCCTGGCCCTCCAAGGAACCCTGATGACCCGATGGACGTCCTGCTTTGCGAGGATCCCGCTTACCACAAATGCCAGTATGTCCCTATAGTTTTTAACAAGTGCAGTAAGATTTCCCTTCCCAACCTCTTTGAAATCGTCGCTCACGAATCTCAAGTCAATGTTCCGGCTGAACTCCAGGATAAAATTTCCTCTCTCGATACCTGGGGCTACAGTTGCACCTTCTATGAGTAAGTCATGGTTTTGTTTTCTACTTGTTACCCTACCACACCTCCTTCCAACACCCCAGATCTACCGCATATCAGCTTCCACTGGCACGGCGATACGAGCCAACGCCGCCAATTGCTTCTGCGCTGCCCTTAAGGTCAAGCACTCATATATAAGGGGGGACGGTGATTCAAGTATACACAGCTGACCAAAAAAGTGATGGCAATTGCTCTGCCATTAAGGGATTGAGCAGATCCGCCGATTATAGAGGCTCTTGTGTAGAATTGTCGCTCTACCCCTCCATAAACTTCCTCAACGATGCCATCTCCTCTTTCAAATGCGTCTAAGCCGCTTTTAGCTCATGCTCGAGCTCCGCCGCATGGTTTCTTAAAGAACAGAAGATCCTCTGACCAATCTGGATTGGGTTAGCTAGCGGCCAGACCTTGATGGTGCTGGTTTCGTCAAAAGAATCATCTCTATGTACTTCGTATACCTAAACAGCAGCGTTAGCCATATACATTTATTAACGGTGTTCCAAGTATAATTTCCACTTCTCGTGCTGCGGTTATAGAAAGTATAGCCACGTAAGAGTAGGAGAAAAGGATGATGATTGATTTACTAAAAGTATCGGTACATCAATACCTATCGACCTTTATAATTGCACCTGTTACAACGCTTAGAATTAGTTCTGCTAAAAAGTTTATGCATCCCGTCTTATTTTGCTGCATAGGTTTTGCGTTTCAAGTGCGATAATTTAATAACTTTGCATATGACGAACTGATGAATCCCGACCTTGGAATACAAAGTGAGGAAGAGGAAACGGGAAGCTCGAAGGAGCTCAGGAGATCTATATATATGGCCACAGGCGCTAGGCCTGAATAGGTGATCAGTTGACTGCAGGTAACAAGGCAGGCTGTCATACTACGCCTTTAAAGAGCTCTCCAGGCTCTCTCAAAAGTACCTGACAGAGGGGAAAAAAAATTAAAATTCAAGCGTGAGCCATAGTTCACGGACAGAATACATATATATATTCGCCGAGGCTACAAATTGCGGTAATCGTCAGGGTCAGCGTCGTAGCCTCCAGAAGCGTTCCATTCCGCCAAAATCTCCTCCTTCCCGTCCGGATCAAACTCCCTTGAGCCCTCGTTCTTTTGTCAAAGGCTTAGCTAAAAGGAAAGAGCATCCAGCAATCCAATAATCGATTGCACCATAACGAGTATATTGATGAGCCTCGCGCTGATCGAGAGAGCTGTGAGGAGCATGCTAGAAGGTAGGATATCGATCTTCTAAAAAGCTGAGTCTTATCGGCCTCGTAAGCGTATTTACTATTAACCGTCGGCTCGCTTAGATGGGCCTCCTTACATCCTTTCAGTCTTAATCGGCGTAAGCGATTGCGGATCGGAAGCGAATGCGGATTTCTTTATTTTCCTAGTCTACTAGTTTTTCTTTATAAAATACAATTTACAATATTACTTTTTGATCTACAACCGCACAACTCTGGCCAGCGAAGACGGATTTCTGAGCCTGTACGTAGCGCTAGCTACGAACCTGCGATATTCTTAACAATATTCGTAGAGCCGATCAGAAAACGCACCTTTTTCGAAAGGTAATCGAAGCGATGCACTTTGATACTAGCCGTATTTTTCGTATCTGCCGACGAAACGAACGACGATTAAAGATACGGAACAAGTATTACAACATACTCTTTCGTACATAACTCGAACCCGACCCTACCGACTAGCTCGATGTGAAGGAAGGAAACAAACAATTCAGCCAAGGAATGCCAAAGCTGAGGAACGCACGGACCTCCACAATGGACTTATCTCTTTTTGTACCTTAGTATCTCTTTTATCTTTCGTATACATGTTGGATTGCTTCCAAGCGATTGGGAATATATTCGTAACTTCGTAAGGTCGTCAAAGTACTTGCAATTGCAAAACACTCGGTTGATAAAGTATCTGAATTCTGTCTGCTCCCCAAGGCTCAAGGGAGCTGACTCCTTCTATATGATTAGAAGGAATCACGTGCCCTAGCTAGCTAATAGGTTTACTAATCAAGTTGGGGGTCCCTTGACTGCTGACATGCTAAGCGAAGCATGCTAAGTGGCCCGTAAACCATGGTTCACGGGTAAGCTCCTTAACTATTACTACTACTACTACTATTAGCTAGCTACGGTCGATATAGAGATACCGACACCGGCAACTCTCTTTTTGGCAAGCAGTGCTTTGCTAACTACTATATCGACCGAAAAAGGAAGGAAAGTAACTAAATAAAGGTAATCAATAAAGGTAATTAAACAAAGGAAAAACAATCTCCTCTTTCTTTCTTTTATAGCGGCCTCTCTACTTATCTATCCACTTGCACCTTTAAGGTATTAGTCAAAACTAGCTCTTGCAAGGAGGTATTAGCCTCGATTTTGGTCATAGCGTCAGCAAGGTTAGATTTTCCTCCGATCTAGCGTACTTCAAAGAGCTCTCGCTTCTCGTATGACTCCCGAATAGCTATAATATCGATCATAAAGCGCTTCTCTTTAATAGTCCTTAGCTTTATTATATACTCGTAAAGCGAGTACGAGTCAGTGTACACTATTATAAAGAAGTTAAGGATTCTTAGCTGAGCCGTGATTTAAGCAAAGGTAGTCGACATAGCAATAGCTATATCGATACTTAAGGACATAGCGTATAGCTTAAAAGCTAATATTACTTTTGTTACTCTTTTGCACTTTTGTAACACTTAATAAAAGATATTACCCGTTAAAGTAAACTCGTTCTCACTTACGTAAGTTTTATTACTAAAGATAGCTACGAAACCGATTTAAAAGCTAAGGTCAGCGTTATTAGCAAACGCTCCGTCTACGAACACGAAGAGCTTCGCAGTTCTTAAGTTTAAAAGCACGTAATAGATCCTTCGAGTTAAGTGATCGATTAGCTACTAGATCACTTTATTAAAAGCCTTATAGTCTTCGTCCTTCGGTTCTTAATGCTAAGCAGTATAAACACCTTACCTGATGGGGTACCTGCTATGGCCACTAAGGCCACACTAGACGGACCCATCTTTTATAAGAGGGCACACATCTCTTAGCTAGAACAATCAACGAGCTTTCCACTTACCTTTTCTGACACTTCTTTTGTAAGACTATAAAGTCTAGCCTCAAAGCTAGGCTTCTGTATAGCACATCTTTTTAAGTGCTTTTACATTAGTGACTTACGCAAAGATTCAAACCTTTGGTCTTTATCTTTATACAGCTTATTACAATCGCTTGATTCGCAATCAAGTTGATCTTCGTTTATCATTTAGCACTTCACTCTATAACTACAACTTCAAAACAATTAAACCTTATTCTCGATAGGTTCGGATACCGAAACGTTGAAATGGCCGAAGTGCAATATTTCGGCTCTTCGGCAGAAACTCTCTTTTATTATTAATAAAAAAGAATTTTCACTTATTAATGAAAATATCCTTTTATACCTTAGCTCTTATCTTGAATTAAAGCAATTGACATAATCCGGAGTTATTAGCGAAGCTAATCAATTGATTTTTAAGTTTTTTATAGTTTTGATTTTAATTATTAGTTTACTTTTGCAAAAAGTCTACTCTTTTTAATCTCGGATCGAAGATACTTTGCGAAAATCGCTTATTTTACTCGTAAACTCGATTTACGAGTTAAAATCAAATAATTCAAAAACCTTTTATCAACCCGATCATTCTTAATACATACATATATCTAATCTTTAAAATACCGAAAACTTTTTTAAGATTTCTAATATCGAAGTCGGCGCCGAGTCACTTTTCTTTTCGTTAAAATCCTTTGAATTTATTAAATCTTTTAATCGTATTCTTATAAGCTTCGGATTAGCTTTATCTTACTTCGACTCTTAACTAGAACTTTTATTTCTATCGGAAACACTTGCTTCGGAAATGCTTCTTAAAATCAACACCAGTCTTAAGATCTATACTACTCTTCTTCTTCTTATTCCTCTTGCTCTTCTATTAAGTCTTGCGCTAGTTATAATCGACCTTGCTATCTTTTACGCTTTTATAATTATTCGCATGCTATTGCTAAATGCTTTAAAAGCTGTCGGTATATCCATATCGACCTTAGCTAGCTAGTAGTAGTAGTTGGGGAAGCTCACCCATGAACCATGGTTCACGGGCCACTTGGCATGCCTCGCTTAACATGTCAGCAGTCAAAGGACCCTTAACTTGACAAGTAAGCCTATTAGTTAGCTAGTGCACGTGATTCTTTCTAATCATATAAAAGGAATCAGCTCCCTTAAGCATTAGGGAGCAGACAGAATTCAGATATTTTATCAACCGAGTGTTTTGCAATTGCAAGTACTTTGACGACCGTTACGACTTTACGAATATATTCCCAATCGCTTAAAAGCAATCTAACATTGATCAGTGGTTGATTTACTATTAAGTGATTAATCACAGAGAAGCTAGGACTCTATAGCGAGGATACTTTTCAATACGATACCTCTTTCTTTTTACAACGGAAGAGCGATTCCGTACCAAGTCGCTTTCTTACACCTCGATACCTTTCCTTTACAACGGAAAAGCGATTCCGTACCAAGTCGCTTCTTATACTACCGATTTTCCTTATTCTTACGGAAGAGTGATTCCGAACCAAGTCACTTTCAAAAACAACAACGTCAACGCTATAAGAGCCGCGCTTACTACATATAGCACCTTAACCAAATTTGGATCGACCTATATACTAATAGACAACAACTATGGCCGATCGAGCAACTGGACTTTTAAGTAGAGAGTCCAGCCGACAAAGAGCAAGAGGGTATTATACCTTTCGAGTCTTATCACTACCTACGGAACCCTTAGCTATTCAACCAAAAGAAACATTATACCCAAGGCTCTTAAGCCTCTCGGAAGGACCAAACGATAAGATGTCGGGCATCTTATTTGACTTAAACGAGCTCTTATACGCAAGGCCCGATAGTGAGATTACGGCTCGAGCAATAGTAAAAGACTTCTTAAATGCGAAGTGTAAAAGGCTGAAGGATTACGACTTATAAAGCTTATTCCGGCACGCTTTCTTACGCTAGGATTAAACGAGTTTTACGATGACGAAGGACAATATAAGACGAAGCTTTAAGTATGCTACTTTTATTAACCTTAAAGAATACTTGCTGTTTAAAAGTGTGTAGTGCCTTCTAAAGCAAAAAGGCTACGCTAATAAGATGGTCAAGCTCTTGAACGACGAGCAGCAATATCAATAGACCTTTTAAGAAATAAAAAAGCAATAAGCAACACCTTTAAGCCTCGATTTAAGGTGGACCGCCGAAAACCTTACGGACGACGACGACGACGATATTACACCTCAACCACTTCTATCTTCGCGCAGTTTAAAAGGAAAGGAAAAGGAGACTAGGAAGGAAAAAGAAGAAGAGATCCGAAGGTTACGAAAAGAGTTTTTAAGGGAGAAGAGAGATATAGAACGCAATATAGAGGCTATAGCAAAGCAAATGGCGGAATTACGGACTTACGCTATACAATCCAACGAAAGGCTACGACGAAGCGCTTTAGCGTACTCGACGTCCTTAATTCGTCAACCTTATCAATCGCTACGCAATACGCCAACCATATAAGAAGAGCTAAAATCACTTCAGCGGCCTTTAAACCCCTTTCTTAAGGGCTATAGCCGAATTTTCGAAAAGCTAAGACCGAGTAGTAATAAAAACGGTCTTGAGATCATCATCGGACTAGACAACACTCGAGGCTACGGGAGCTACACGCTAAAAGAGGACTCGCTAAAACCTGAAAGCATTCCGGATAAAATCAGCTTTTACTAAGGATAGCGTGCAGATTTCCGTGCTTAACCTTAGCAACCCGAAAAAGGGATCTAGCACCTTCGGACGTACCGACAAGCTACTTACATCTTTTAAAAGGCTACGTATTAGTAAAAGAGAAACCAAAGGTATAAGAATCGTTAAAAGCAAGCTTAAGGATACGGATATCATTAAGCTAAAGCATTAGCCGGTGACCCGAATGACCTTAGCGATCTTAGCGATGACCGACGAAGAAGAAACGAAAGAGATTAGTAAAGAGATCGAAGGCACGGATACGGAAAGGATAAAAACGGTCTTTTTAGATTATTAAAAGGATTCGAAAACGGACCTTCAAAGGACTTCGGATTCGAAAATGAACCTTTTAAGGACTTTAAAAGAGGACGGACCACCGGCAATTATATCGATAACTTTTTACCGATTAGACTATTAGCTAAGCATAGCACGCTTGCGTACGGCATTTTAAGCGCTCTTAACGACGATAGCGATAACTTCTTTAAGCTAAGAGCAGCAGACCTTTATTTAAGAGCGAAGAAGTTAACTTTGTTTATAAAAAGCTTTTTTAAAAAGCTAAAGTATTCGAGACTTGACGATGACTTTAAGACTTAATTAAAGATTTTTGCTAACTAAGCAAGTCGATACGGTTTGACCTTCGACGACTATTTAACAGCGTTCCTTATTATTCTTATAAAAAAAGCTATTACATTTTATTACAATCACGTCATTAAAGCCAGGCTTCCGACGTTTAAAGCAAACGCTATTGCTATAAAAGACTACTTCGAGACCGACTATCGGCGGCAAGCAAAATACAACCGCTAAAAAGAAATTTCGCTAGATTTAGTTAAAAAAGAGAATCTAAGGACTTCGCTTAGCGAGTGCTTTAAGAAGCTCGCTAAAGAGCTTAAAGGCATTTAAGGCTCTTTACGATCAGGTTTGAAAGATAATCGGAGTCTTGCTGACAAGCTGTATTTAACTTATAAAAACGTGTTAAAGACTACGATTGCACGAATGAACCTTGCGTTTACTTTTACCGTTGCAGTTGCCGATATCCGCCGAGCAAT